ACGGGCGTAAATAATTTGCATTCAAAGCTCAACCAAATGTGCGATATAATTATATTTTCTCACACTAATGAATATAAGTTTGACACCACATGTTTTGTAATTCCCACCATTACTTGTAATCTTCCTTCACAAGTGGTTGATAAAAGGGTACTCAACATACCTTCTGATATTTTGTTAGCAGACCCAGACTTTCATTTACCGGCTAACGTCGACTTACTTTTAGGAGCAAACGTCTTTTGGAACTTACTTGAGAGTGGAAGACTAACTTTAGGTCAAAACGGACCAGTTCTGTGTGAAACGAAGATAGGGTGGTTAGTGTCTGGTTACTGTCCAAGCGTAAAATATTTAAATAAGGTAAAATGTAATTTCATTATGCATAATGACTGCATCGACGACACTCTTACCCGCTTTTGGAAATTAGACGAATGCACGGTAAGACCTGAAACATCAATCTATTCAGATGAACAAAGGGCTTGCGAAGAACATTTTGTTAAACATACGAAGCGTATGCCTGATGGTCGCTTCTGTGTACGTCTACCGTTAAAGAGGTCCGAGACTTTACTCGGAGATTCCTATACTAGGGCTAAAAAATCCTTTTTTTTTTCCTTAGAACGTCGACTTCGAGATAATGATGATTTAAAATCAATGTACGATAACTTCATAAAGGAATATGAGGATCTAGGTGACATGACCAAGATCACTGATATCAAATTGAAAACTGCAGGACACTTTCTCCCACATCACGGAGTTTTACGCTCTTCTAGCTTAACCACTAAATTGCGCGTTGTTTTTAATGCCAGTTCACCTTCTTCTTCAGGCGTTTCGCTCAATGATCTACAGATGGTTGGTCCAACAATTCAAGACGATATTGTGGCAATTCTTTTACGATTTCGTCATCATGCCTTTGTGGTTTCAGCCGATATAGAGAAAATGTATAGGAGAATCTTAGTTGATGAAAATGATAGACACCTACAACAAATTCTATGGCGATCGAACCCTGCAGAACCACTGTGCTCTTACCAACTTAACACCGTAACGTACGGAATGTCGAGCGCACCGTTCCTAGCAATACGGTGTTTAAAGGAACTTTCATTAAATTGTAATGATCCAATAGTAGCCAAAGCAATAGCACGAGATTTCTATGTTGACGATTTCCTTAGTGGTTGTTCGCATAAGGAAGAAGCTAATAAGTTAACAACTGGTGTTTCAAATGTGTTAAAAGGCGCTGGCTTCCATCTTCGAAAATGGCGTTCAAATGAGCCCAGTTTAATTAAATGTCATACTACTGAGAATCGAGATTTAAATTTAGGCAATATTCATGATGCAAAGACTTTGGGTCTTGGGTGGAATAGTAGCACAGATGAACTTTATTACACTATTGATGTTACTTCGATTCAGCATCCCATACGAATAACAAAAAGATATATTTTGTCGGTGATATCCAGGATATTTGATCCTCTAGGCTTAGTGGCACCTTGTATCATACAGTGTAAAATACTATTACAGAAATTGTGGCTCACAAACTATCATGGGACGATGAGGTTCCGTCTGATGTTGGTCAGCAATTTTTAAAAATCATTCAGTCACTTCCTTTATTGAATAATTTGCGCATCCCGCGCCTTGTCGTTCATAATAGTACTTATTTTGAGTTTCATGTTTTTACAGACGCATCGGAAGGAGCGTATGGTGCCTGTTTATATGTACGGTCTGTAGATGCAAGGAATAACAAAGTAGTTACAACGTTGCTATGCGCTAAAAGCAGAGTAAGTCCAATTAAATCTATTACTATCCCTAAGTTGGAGTTATGTGGCGCGTTGATTGGTTCACAGTTATGTGATAAGGTTTTGAGCTCGTTTAGACTACAACCAAAGCGCTTCGTATTTTGGTCTGACTCTTCAATTGTTTTGGGTTGGTTGAGAATGTTGCCCTCTCGTCTCAAGGTTTATGTACGTAATCGAGTTTCCGACATATTAAATATCACTGGTAATTCACCTTGGCGCCACGTACCGACACATAAAAATCCTGCTGACTATGTTTCACGAGGTATTTATGCTAACAAAATTGCGGATGACAAACTTTGGTGGTCTGGTCCAAAATTTCTTGAACTTTCTGAAGAACACTGGCCAAGAAATATCTATGCCGACCAAACGCAATTACCTGAGATTAAGAGCGAGGCAGCCTTGACTATTGTTGAGAATGTTTGTGGTGATATTATTAATGTTGAACATTATTCAAGCTTTACAAAACTACTCCGTATTACAGCATATGTTTTTCGTTTTGTTAATAACTTGAAGGTGAAACAAATTGAATTAAGAGAAAGTGACTTTTTAAAAACTTATGAATTGGAAAGAGCATTAAATTTTCAAGTTAAAATGTCTCAAAGGGATAGTTTTTCCTGTTATAATGAATTGATAAGTAACAAACCTGTATCGTCGAAGGATCCCCTTTTAAAACTAAATCCATTTATGGATTCCGACGGTATTATACGCGTGGGAGGCAGGTTAAAGGATTCAGAATTTTCTTTCTTTAAAAAACATCCAATCATACTTTGTTCTAACCATCCCTTGACAAAATTGTTATTTAGATCCGAACATCATCGACTTATGCATATAGGCCCCCAAAACTTATTATATTCTATTCGTCAAAGGTACTGGCCAATACGGGGTAGACATTTAGCTAGAATAACTACTAAAAGGTGCATTACATGCGCCCGTTTTAACGGTACAACCATTGCTCCTATTATGGGTAACTTACCTCCTGCAAGAACTAATCTTGAATACGCATTCCAAGTGGTAGGAGTAGATTATGCCGGTCCTATTATGGCAGCGACCAAGAAGGGTCGCGGTTGTTCATTAAAAAAAGTATATATTGTGATATTCGTGTGCTTCGCAACAAGAGCTATCCATCTGGAAGTAGTGAGTGATCTATCTGCAGATGGATACATAGACGCTTTACACAGATTTGTTAGTCGACGCGGTTTACCTACCGATATCTATTCAGACAACGGCACGCAATTTGTAGGTGCTTGTAACGAATTAAAACGTTTTTTGAAATTAAATGCTAACATTGTATGTGAGCGTGCCGCTAATAAAGGTATTCGTTTTCATTTCCTTCCGCCTTATTCACCACACTTCGCGGGCATGGCCGAGGCTGGCGTAAAATCATCAAAATATCACTTAAGACGTGTACTTGGTAATTGTCACCTTACCTTCGAGGAACTATGCACCGTTATTTCACAAATAGAGGCCATACTTAACTCGCGACCAATTTCCCCACTTTCCTCAAATCCTGATGACCTACTCCCTCTTACCCCTGGACACTTTTTAATAGGCAAACCACTAACAGCAGTACCGACGCCAAGCTATATTGATATAAATACCAACAGACTCAATAGATACCAACGTATTCAGCAGTTGCGACAACACTTCTGGACCAGATGGTCCAAGGAATATATTTCGGAGCTGCAAGAACGCCAAAAGTGGAGGCAATGTAAGGGAACTCTACATGAAAATCTGATGGTTGTTATAAAGGAAGACAATCTACCTCCAATGAAATGGAAACTCGGTCGCGTAGTTGCTGTATACCCTGGTCACGATGGAGTCGCAAGAGTCGCCGATATTCAAACTTCCGCAGGCTTAATCAGAAGATCCTTTTCAAAAATATGTCCTTTGCCCATATAGATTTGAAAGGTATTCCTTTCAACGCGGGGCGATATGTTATGTGGAGATGTATACATTTTTTAATCTATGTAACATAAGCTAGCAACATCGTCTTTTTTTTACTGTTATATTCTATTCCATATACTTGCTTACTTGCTCAACGTACTTGTCATTCTTTCGCCTTTTAAAAGTTTTTATATAAGAACTTATTATTTAAATCTTTACTGTTTTAATACAAATACACGAAGAATATTGTAAGATATAAGAACTTCTTTTATTGACGAAAATTCCTACAAGCAAATTCAACGCCATTCAGGTAAATGTTTTATATGTTACACTGAATGGAGAGTCGTCTATGTTTGTGTAGCAACTAGTAAATATTACGTTGGATATAATGCATTCAAAAATAGACAGGCTCGTCTGAAAAGTACATACCAGTGCTACACGGAAGACCGGCGTGAAGTGGAAATATTACACTTTGGCGTTTCCGACGAGAAAGGTAATTGGGGCCCACTTTTTTAAAGGTCGGCAACGCATATGGATCCCATCAGGTGTAGTAGCTGTCCATGGGCTGCGGTAATTAATTAACGTCATACGAACCACCTGCTCGCTTTCCCACTTTTAACCATTGAAATAAATTTAAAAAATAATGTCTTCCACATCGGTGCGCAACATTGTTTAAAAGATTTGCCCAATAATGCTAGCAAGATGGAATGCGATACTTCCTTCGATGCTTTGTGACCAGAATCAGAGGGAAAATATAAGTAGATTATTTATTAAGTTTTTTAAATTATAATTGAAAATTAAGTGGCCCATGCCAAGCATATGAGTGAGTTCGCTTGCCACGGATTGGGAAAATTCTTAACCTCCGTTTTCACTCCGGATCATAGGGGCTCATGGTCGGTTATATACATAGGTAACGGTATATATGTCTCCGGAAACTCGTCCAATAAATAGATTACCCTGTTAAGAACTACAAATCGGATTGTACATAAGGCACAAATGAACTCAATAAAAACTTGTGAAGGAATAAAATACGTGAAATCTCACATTAGGCAAATTTAAACAAAAGAACAAAATGAACATTAAAAACTGTAAAAAAAATATAAGAATTTTAGTAAACATTTATCTATATTAAGCAGTCTTCATTACGAGAGCTAATTGAGGTTGAAGATAATAGAGGATGGAGAAGGGAAGATGAACGTTTTTCTGCAAATGATTGCACTATAAAACATATTTCTTGTTTTTTTTTAAAATAAAATTTAGCCATTTTAATGTTATTCACACTTAACGCTAAAAATCGGATTAGACTCTCCACTGTGAAACCGGTAAGAATCAAGAATGTGGTCTGCCGAAAGGAGCAATCTTTTGAGAATGCCGATAGAAGCGAAAACTAAGTAAGTTAACAACAACTTAAATAGGTATAGGTATAGGTATTATTATTATATTTATAAATGGAATAATTATTGAACGTTAATATAGCATATAGTATAGCACATGGAAAGTGTCCGGAGACGATGACGTGACTTCCATGATCACAAAAAGTGCTCAACGCGCCTAAAGAAGTTTTCACTTCAAAATGTTTCATCAGGACATATTTTTTTCATCATATCCATATCATAAATGAATAAAAATATAACACTTCATAGCACTGTAAGTACCTTTAATATAATACGTAGCCCTGACCTATATTAAACCGCGACTTTCCTTTGTTCATGCTGTCATTATTTTTCTTAAAAAGCATTACCGTGGAATGAGACATTTTCCCTACGTTTTATTTACTACTTATAATAAATACTGTACTCGTGTAACGCAATTTTTTTTAATTATAATATCCATGAAAGACTTCTCTAAAAGAGATGTCCATATTGCGCGATATTAATTTTGATCTCGGAACGGAAAATATCCCTGTAAATATACACAAGTTCCGTTCTGGGAACGAAGGCTGCACTAATTAATTAGTTACGAACAAAATCTCCAATAATTTTAAAAGGGCTTCATATCATACAGCGGCTACTGAACTCGAATCGATATGAACACATTTCAGCTTGCGATGACAGTTTTACATGGACGATATACGTATAAAATAATAGTACAACACATGCACTACTATTTTACACTACTATTTATACTATTTATGCACTACTATTTTCCCACTACGAGTGTCCATGAAAACTTACTGGGAAAACTCGGCAAGAAGTTGTTACAAAGATTATGGAAATAAACGATTTTTTTTTTATGCACAGATAGATAAACAATTAAGGCACAGTAACTCACTTCATTCGACCTTTTTAAGCACTAAAGTTGCGTCCGGCAAGTTGTGACACTTTTACAATAATGAATAACAATATTTTTTTAATTAAAATCTTGTTAATAATAATTTGCAGTTTTCCTTATAGTTAATAATAATTTCCGCATTATGATAATCGGTTGTCATAAAAAATAGGTCACGCGAAAGGTATCATTTGTCATTTTCAGACAATCACTAAAAGCCTTACAAAAAGGTATAAAGATATTAAACAAGAACGGATTCGGAAAAAAGAATCGAAAAAAACATCCCCCTAGCCTACAACGACAAGTAATAGCATTTCAATAATATTATAAGTAATCCAATATTATAAGTAATCAATAGAAACCTGTCTTAAATAATACAACCCACCCCCATATTACGTATAAAGGAAAATCCATCCGAAGGTCGAAAGAAATTCACAAACCTTAAAGATTTTTATGATGTATAAAATAATGTGAGAAATAAATCTAATACCGTCTTTACGTAGTCATAAAGTATTAAACATACTTGTATATTTAACACTATTATTATTAAGCAGAGTCAGGAAAAAGTTATTATACATTATTAAAAACATTGAGCGAAACTATCGTAATTCCGTTTAAATCAGGCGTTAAGGGTCGTACGTGACAATTGAAAAAAAGCACGATAACAACGAGCGCAATATCCGGAACATGGAATAAATTGAATTATGTAACAAAGCTTATAAACTTTCAAACTTTGCCTCCGCTTGCAGTAGTTTAAAGATCCCATTACGTGCGTGTAAGCGTTTCCGATGCGCGCGCATCACATCGCGCGGGCCGATGCGGGACAGGTCTTATTCCTCTCAGTCGCATTTCAATTCAAAATTGGAAACGATCAAAAGTGTCAGCGCGCCTCCCGCCGGAGCTCGTCAATTCCGAAGCGGCGGCGGTGCGATCGGACGCGTTGATTCGGTAGTTGATTGTTCGCTACTGATAGCGTACACTTTCGCCGTAGATAAATCGTAAGATACTGGTGCGCGCCGTTATGCTGCCCTCGGAAGGCGATCTTCGGCAGCGAGCTATGCAACAGAACACCCGTGCCCACGCCGGTGGGCTGAATGGGCAGCAGGGCTTCAGGCCGCCGGTGGACGCCGGTGGGCGGAAGGGGCAGCAGGGCTTCAGGCCGCCGGTGGACGCCGGTGGGCTGAATGGGCAGCAGGGCTTCAGGCCGCCGGTGGACGCTGTTGGGCTGAATTGGCAGCAGGGCTTCAGGCCGCCGGTCGACGCCGGTGGGCTGAATGGGCAGCAGGGCTTCAGGCCGCCGGTGGACGCCGGTGGGCTGAATGGGCAGCAGGGCTTCAGGCCGCCGGTGGACGCCGGTGGGCTGAATGGGCAGCAGGGCTTCAGGCCGCCGGTGGACGCCGGTGGGCTGAATGGGCAGCAGGGCTTCAGGCCGCCGGTGGACGCCGAGCGCAACAGGGCGCCTATACCCCACAGGCCGTATGTGATTCGACCCCAGTGCCCGGATATGTACGGCTTGACTGGTGCCGGCGCGCACTTGGCCCCGTACATCGCGTACTGCAACGGTAACCAGTTGTTTTGTCTCGGACAATCTACGCAAAATAAAAATGTAGAGATTTGTTTGCGATTGCTGCGTGATCGTATTTTTTTTTTATTGACAATTATCTGCTAATGCACCGCTAAATCTTGTTATGGCAGATGATTATTCACTTTGAAAATGTATGGCGAAACGGAATAATTAATTGTACCGCCGTGCGCTGATATTTGACATAATATTCAGCGCACTGTATGATCGTGTAATGAAGCTTTGGCCATTTGAGGAAGTTCATTAATTGCATTTTAAACCGCAGACGAATCCTAAACGAGTGTAAATGAGTGTATTTGGTATACCGCATATCGGAGTTTTGGTGAGAATAAATTGACAAACATTTTCATTTACCACGTTTCTTATTACCTAAAGTTATACACTTCTTCACAGAAAAAAATGCTTTTGCATATATAAAATATAGTCGGAAGCTCCTAGGTGCTATGTACCAATGTGTGACAATTAAAGCACTATATTTTAATGTCTCAGCAATTGAAATCGATAAAAACTTATTGAGACACCATTAATATTTTCCAAGTTTTAGACAAAAATTTGAATGTCAGCAAACTAAATCGATTTATCTTAGTTTTTTTTCTTCTTTCATGCATGGGTAATCGAAAATAATTACTGCTCATTTGTGATTGAGTTGTGGGTTTTTGCTGAAAAAGTAATTTATTCCCTTTTGGCTACACTTCAGCGCATTTAATACACGATAATAATATTCAGTGTCGTGCATTCAAAGCCACGGGACAGTTTCAATTACGTCCATGTTTGTAATGAATAATAGTTTCATATCAATATCCATTCATGCTTCCGTCGCTAATTCAGAGCTGATTCAGAATTGCGAAACTCTACTTAACGTATCACTGATTATATAGTTAAACTACTGTGAAGATGGAGCACACAGTGATTTATTGATCGATTTTTCAGTATATATATGATAATCCCTTCAGAAGTTGGGCATTGTAATCAGAATTTCAGTATTTCGGAGAGATGTTGGTAAAACATTTTGTACACGATTTTAAAACATGAAAAACTTCTTACTTAATATTATATTTTGTCTGATTTTTTTTTGTTTGTACTTCGGAATTTCCCTTTGGCACTTATCAACCTGTCACATAAAAAGACGATGATTAGAGCTTATGCGGCATTAAATAAGATCCTTAGTCAAGTAGTCTTGTTAATAAGGATTGGATATTGAATGAGTGGGCCTGTCCAGTTCCTAAGATTAATTCCGATTTTTTTATGAAAATGATCCATTTGATAATTTATGCTCACTGATTGAACTTTATATTTTATTTTATTGCGTAATTGCACATGAAGAACCTATTATATACAGCTTTGTCTATACTAACGATGTAATGATAGTTCTAGTTCCGGTTCGGAAAATGCCAGCCAAACTAACTATCCAATGTTTTCATAAAGCTTTTATTATATTTTTCATTAAAAAGCTTTAGAAAAATATTGTGGAGCTTTATAGAGAGGAGCATCAATAACAGCATCCGGATTACACGCAATATCGAACGTATTGTAATATAAATGTCATATATAGCTACCATACCATAGCTACGGACATAACTTAATTTTATGAAGAAAGTGTAGAGAATTTGCGTAAATAAATATTGTACGATATTTGTAAATATTGTACATATCGAAACAATTGAAACCTCACAACTTAGTTACCGGGCGCTTCTGTCCTTTGAACTTACAATTACAGTGAACGCAATTGAAAAAATTCTTATGCCTTTTCAAATAAATTTATTATGAACTACCTTATAACTGTTAATCTGTTAATCTAACTGCACAAAGGCTTTTAGAAAAAAGTGACAACATAATGACGTTATTAAATCTGAGAAAATTAAGAAGGCATATACACATTGGCGCTACTTGAATTATTATGTTCAATAGTATAATTATTAAATATTAAGTTAATTATTAGTAGAATTTATCTTAAGAAAACCAGAGACGATCAAGTATGTCTCCTAGGGCGATCGGGTATAAAAAATTGCCCAGTGCTATGCAACAGGTGAACGGAAATGATTCCATTTTTTACAGTTTACGAATATTGTATTAGAAGTGCATTATTTTGGGGCTGGTGATTCGTTTGAAAAAATTACTACTACAATTTCATCGAATGAATCTATAGCAATAAAATTATGTATTTGGACCGTAAAACTTGAAATTTTTTTAGGAGACGTGGGAGTAAATGGGTTTTTTTTTTCATCTAATATAATGTACATAAGTCCTCTTACAATGTTCAGGTCTCAAGAGTTATTGCAAAACGAAAAGTCTATTTTGGCTTTTGTATTCAACACCGTGAACGTGTATTAAGTTTGTGCGCTTTAATGTTAAAATTATTTTTTAGAACAACCGGTGCCGGTGGTCGAAAATCCTGCCTATCATGTGGGCAACATGCAAGCTCTCTTGCTACCCGAATGCAACCTGTGCCGGTAAATGTCTCTTTCATACAACTCAAATGGCAGTTATAGAACAATAGGAGTTAATAGTCCTTGATAAATCATGCTGATTGATCAAAACGGGAAAAAGGTGGAATAAACAAAAAGAACAAGAACGCAGAGTTTCTTGCCGGCTCTTCTCTGTTTAGGTCTAGTTTAGTGAACCGGTGGTAGATTTTTTGTTGCCATTCAATAAGAGCTTAAGTTAAGCCTATATTGAATAATAAAGATACTTTGGCTTCTTTGACTTTGAAACTCTCCAGCGCCTTGTCAATTATGTTATTCTCTAATGTCTATAGTTTCTATAAAAAGTAGAGAAAGAACAGCAAAATTAATTTTATCATACATATAGTTAAAATGGTTAGAATGGTGCGCCCTAATAGCGATCTTGAGTCGGGTAAGGTTATATTATATAGTTCGATTTTTTTTTTATATTAGAGGTATTGGCTAATGCGCTGGTGGTTCATCTGATGTTGTGATAAGTGCCGCCCGTGGACAACTGTAAGGATCATAGAGTGGGCATTAGGTTAACATACCTTTTAATAGCGTGGGTCCCTGTCTCCTCATTCACCAGACGTATACTAAAACGTAGACGTATAGACGTACATTATAAATAGATATAATATAACGTATATTTCAAACCCAGTGTTTGTTACAGATGTGATAATAGTTGTTGCATGTCGGTAGTGGTATACGATCAACGTCCCCGTCAACGTTACGAAGGATTGGTAGGTAACGATGGTTTTATATATATATATATATTTATTGTATTTATTTATTTACCCTTTACGCACTAAAAGTACAAAGGCGGACTTAATGCCGAAGGCATTATCTCCCAGTCAACCTTAGGGTGGTACAGAGAAGATTAGGTAGGTGCACAGAAAGACAAAAAAAAAAGAATAACTACAACTGAAACTTACAAGGTACATATCTTATATTATTTGTATATGTTGAGATAAGTAATATTCTAAAATTATATACTACATAAGAAGATTATAAACATAAACTTCATACATACTAAAAATATAAATAAATACACACAATATATATATATATGTAATAAATACAAAATTCGCTGAAATAAAAATTAGCTAAATATATATATATATATATATATATATATTTAGCTCATTTTTTGAGCTAATTTTTCGACTATAGCTGTTGAATGTTAATTGTTTAAACGAGAGGTAATTCTCCTAACACATAATTTTTAGCGTTCCAATCGACGTAATGATAGCATGTTTTCCCGCGAAAGACATGTATAATTATTTGAAATATGAAAATTATTTTATATTTTCATAATTTCATTTGCAAAGTGAAATACGTATTACTTTATATTAAATTACATAAATAGACCAAATATAAATTTGAACTATGTTCACGGTTAGCCAAACCATTGTGCGTGCTTAGGCCGGTTCCACACGAAGCAAATATACTTTCATACTGCCGTTTGTCTGGTCGCGAAGATGGAAAACGACGGTCTAAATTTTCCTGATAGAGCATGTGTTACGTGTTCTGCGTAAAATTTATCGCTGGATTCAAGTGAGAGACAAAACGAAAGCAGTATTTGATTGGTATTCGCATAAAGTGGCGGATGATATAGTATAATATTGAAGCGTAATCTACCTTTGAACCTCGCACCATTTGAAGCAAACCGTAATAAAAAACTATCACCAAATCTAGCACCACATTATGTTTGAGAACAGTTAAACCTAGTAGAGGTTCCAACGCGTAAACTTGTCCCGTGTGGGATTTAGTTTGTATACACACGTTCTTTCTAGCCCGGCATGCCAAAGCGGCACAGTTTCAGATGGGTCATAATTATCATTTAAAATGAATGTATTTGCAGATCGACAGAACCGCCGGTAGTATGTTAATAAAACAAAACCAATAAAATTATTATCAACTTCATGTTAGCAGTTAGTGGTATTCCATATGTAATCAATTCTATTGAATAAAAATAATTATCCCGTCCATTTGCCATTTCCAAGTATCATCGATAATGTAAAATTAGTAAATATTTGTAAAGTGAAATAAAATCAATCTTATATTATCATGAAACGTAAATACTACGCAACTTTGTAATCATAAAAGAGTCGGATTAAAATACTTGACGACTGTCATTTAATGCATGATAATTTTAATTGTCACATACATATAGTACATATACATGTTTAGATGCTTCAAATATATATATATATATTTATTTATTTTCTTTATTTATTTATCCTTTATGCACCAAAAGTACAAAGGCGGACTTAATGCCGAAGGCATTATCTCCCAGTCAACCTTAGGGTGGTACAGAGAAGATTAGGTAGGTGCACAGAAAGACAAAAAAAAAGAATAACTACAACTGAAACTTACAAGGTACATATCTGATATTATTTGTATATGTTGAGATAAGTAATATTCTAAAATTATATTCTACATAAGAAGATTATAAACATAACTTCATACATACTAAAAATATAAATAAATACACACAAATATATATATGTAATACATACATAAAATCGCTGAAATAAAAAATTAATAATATATATATATATATATATATATATATTTAGCTCATTTTTTGAGCTAATTTTTCGACTATAGCTGTTGAATGTTAATTGTTTAAACGAGAGGTAATTCTCCTAACACATAATTTTTAGCGTTCCAATCGACGTAATGATAGCATGTTTTCCCGCGAAAGACATGTATAATTATTTGAAATATGAAAATTATTTTATATTTTCATAATTTCATTTGCAAAGTGAAATACGTATTACTTTATATTAAATTACATAAATAGACCAAATATAAATTTGAACTATGTTCACGGTTAGCCAAACCATTGTGCGTGCTTAGGCCGGTTCCACACGAAGCAAATATACTTTCATACTGCCGTTTGTCTGGTCGCGAAGATGGAAAACGACGGTCTAAATTTTCCTGATAGAGCATGTGTTACGTGTTCTGCGTAAAATTTATCGCTGGATTCAAGTGAGAGACAAAACGAAAGCAGTATTTGATTGGTATTCGCATAAAGTGGCGGATGATATAGTATAATATTGAAGCGTAATCTACCTTTGAACCTCGCACCATTTGAAGCAAACCGTAATAAAAAACTATCACCAAATCTAGCACCACATTATGTTTGAGAACAGTTAAACCTAGTAGAGGTTCCAACGCGTAAACTTGTCCCGTGTGGGATTTAGTTTGTATACACACGTTCTTTCTAGCCCGGCATGCCAAAGCGGCACAGTTTCAGATGGGTCATAATTATCATTTAAAATGAATGTATTTGCAGATCGACAGAACCGCCGGTAGTATGTTAATAAAACAAAACCAATAAAATTATTATCAACTTCATGTTAGCAGTTAGTGGTATTCCATATGTAATCAATTCTATTGAATAAAAATAATTATCCCGTCCATTTGCCATTTCCAAGTATCATCGATAATGTAAAATTAGTAAATATTTGTAAAGTGAAATAAAATCAATCTTATATTATCATGAAACGTAAATACTACGCAACTTTGTAATCATAAAAGAGTCGGATTAAAATACTTGACGACTGTCATTTAATGCATGATAATTTTAATTGTCACATACATATAGTACATATACATGTTTAGATGCTTCAAATATATATATATATATATTTATTTATTTTCTTTATTTATTTATCCTTTATGCACCAAAAGTACAAAGGCGGACTTAATGCCGAAGGCATTATCTCCCAGTCAACCTTAGGGTGGTACAGAGAAGATTAGGTAGGTGCACAGAAAGACAAAAAAAAAAAGAATAACTACAACTGAAACTTACAAGGTACATATCTGATATTATTTGTATATGTTGAGATAAGTAATATTCTAAAATTATATTCTACATAAGAAGATTATAAACATTAACTTCATACATACTAAAAATATAAATAAATACACACAAAATATATATAATACATACATAAATATATAACAAATATATATATATATATACTATGATATTCAACGATGACGTTGATCTGACGACAAATTTTTGAAGATGTGATCACGAACTTTTCTTTTGAATATAAAGCGACTTTTAGCCAACCTGATTTCGAGAGGAAGCTCATTCCACAGGAGGATGGACTGGATAAAGAAAGAAGAGTGCATGAAGTCAGAACGGTGAGATGGATATACCAGAAGACGATTATGTGAAGAGCGAAGGTTTTTGTTGCTGACAGCACATAAATATTGAAAATAATGGGATAAGTAAGATGGGGTAGAAGGCGAGTTCAGGAGGGAGTACAAAGTAGTCAGTGCTCTTAGAGAGCGTCGTTGGCGTATAGGTAGCCACTGAAGCTGAGCACGGAAGGAAGATACATGGTCATACTTACGGAGATTGAAAACGAATCGAATGCAGTTATTTAGAAGTCGGTCGAGTTTATTGAGGTGATCTGCATTCAGGTCGAAGTAGCACACGTCACCATAGTCGATTAAAGGGAAAATTAAGGCCTGCACGAGCAATTCTTTAGTTTTCGAAGGAAGAAAATTTTTGAGCCTGTATAACTTGAGCATTCCAACTGAGCGTCATGTCAAGGTATAACCCGAGGTTTTTTACATTATGGCTAAGAGGTATGCGAGTACTGTTAAATGTTATATGCGGGAGATTACACAAATCTACTTTTCCTATGGTGCGCGAACTCCCAACTATGATGGCTTGGCACTTTGAAGGGTTGACAGTTAAGCCAAATCTGTCAGACCACTTTTTGATGGTAGATAAGTCACGGTTTATATTATGGATTACTTCAGGGAGCCTATCAGTAGCGGTCTGAGCGTACAGCTGCAGGTCATCGGCATAAAGATGATACGCACATTGAAGGTCATGAGTGATTAAGTTAATAAAAACAGAAAACAAAATAGGAGAGAGGATACCGCCTTGAGGGACACCATTTGCAAGATTTAGCCAGCTTGATGATAATTCACCAATAGAAATAGCCTGCTGGCGCCCTCGAAGATATGACGAAAACCATTCCAGCGCTTCATCGGAAACCATTAAATAGGAGAGGATAGCAAAAAGGATGTCATGACTGACGGTGTTAAAGGCGTTTGAAAAATCGATTAAAACCATAACAGTAACTTTAGTACTTTCCATACCTGCCCTAATATCGCCAGTCACTTTAAGGAGGGCGGTAGTTGTACTGTGGCCCGGTCTAAACCCAGATTGTAAAGGACTGATCAATTTGTTACTAAGAACAAAAGGAGAAAATTGCTTAAGGACACAGTACTCAAGCACCTTAGAAAGGAAGGGTAGTATGGAGATAGGACGATAGTGAGCGAGAAGTGAAGGATTAGGGCATTTAGGCAGTGGCCGCACAAGAGTATTACGCCACAGGGATGGGAAGGATCCGGAATCTAATGAAAAATTAATGATATGGGTAATCGCAGGAAGAAGGTGATCGAGGATGGGAACTATCATGCGACGACCGATTTTATCGCATCCAATAGCATTGGATTTAATAGCGAGGATATATTTTTTGTTTTCGTCAGAAGAAACTGGAGAAAAATTAAAAGAACTAATATCAGGGCGCGTCAAACCATTTATATAAGAAATCGTTTCACAAATCGTTAGATGATCTATCGATGAAGAGGTAGACAAATGTTGATTTAAATCATCTAAGTTGATTGAGGTAGGAAGGTTTGGAAAACGCGACTTACCGATACCAAGAGTCCCGAGGAACTTCCAGATATCGGCAGGAGTAGATGTAGAAATATTATCGAGGATATGACGGCGTTTAGCGTTGCGTATCATCTGATTACACCGATTTCTAGCCAGCTTGTAGAGAGACCAATTATCTTCAGAACGACTTTTTTGAATCTACGAAAAGCTCGATCTCTGCGTCTCATAGCCATCCGTATCCCTTCGGTCATCCAAGGTGCTGGGGAGTGTCTAAGTTTAATGGTCTTAAGAGGGGCGTGAACATCATACAGGCTAGTTACCAATGAGTTACGGATGTGAAACTTATCATCTACGGTGCTTGCGACTACCAAAGGCTCCCAATCAATTTTGATCGCATCCTTACGTAGTTTTTCTATGTTAATTTTCGCGAAAGAACGCACGTGCAGAACCTTGGGCTTAGGTTTAGGAGGCTTTAGGGTGTAAGATAGGAAAACTAGGTCATGGTGGGAAAATCCAGGGGCGGGATGCTGTCCATGAAAGGAAACCAAGGAAGGGTTGGAGGAAAGGATTAGGTCAAGCCAAGTGTCTTCACCGGAGACGTTATGGTGGGTAGCTTGGAGAGGTAAAATATGAAAACAGCTTGACTCAACTATGTGAAGGAGTTTAAGGGTACGAGGAGAATTGGGTGCCAGGAGATTGGTATTAAAATCGCCCATGATAACGTGGTGAGCATACTCAGAACCCAAAGATTCAAGAACCAATTTAAAGTCGGTGAAATTGTCAATATTGGGAGGACAGTATACAACAGCTATAACAATCTTAGCGCCTTTGATTGTTACTTCAAGAAAAAGAAATTCTGCAGAAGCGGAGTAATTCTGGGGAGAGGAGGCCAGTACCTTATACGAAAGATCACCTCTTAGGTATATGGCGATACCCCCTCCCCCTTTACCTATGCGGTCATTTCTCACAAGAATAAAACCGGGAAGGGAGTACATGGTGGAAAGCAGGTGAGGTTTAAGCCAGCTCTCGGAAATCAGAATGGCATGCATATTACAGTTACCGAAAGCATCTAAAAAATCGTTAAAGTGGCTAGGAATACTTTGCGCATTTATATGACAAATATTCAAAAGGCAATATATATATATATATTTGAAACATCTAAACATGTATATGTACTATATGTATGTGACAATTAAAATTATCATGCATTAAATGACAGTCGTCAAGTATTTTAATCCGACTCTTTTATGATTACAAAGTTGCGTAGTATTTACGTTTCATGATAATATAAGATTGATTTTATTTCACTTTACAAATATTTACTAATTTTACATTATCGATGATAGTTGGAAATGGCAAATGGACGGGATAATTATTTTTATTCAATAGAATTGATTATATATGGAATACCACTAACTGCTAACATAAAGTTGATAATAATTTTATTGGTTTTGTTTTATTAACATACTACCGGCGGTTCTGTCGATCTGCAAATACATTCATTTTAAATGATAATTATGACCCATCTGAAACTGTGCCGCTTTTGCATGCCGGACTAGAAATAACGTGTGTATACAAACTAAATCCCACACGGGACAAGTTTACGCGTTGGAACCTCTACTAGGTTTAACTGTTCTCAAACATACTGTGGTGCTAGATTTGGTGATAGTTTTTTATTACGGTTTGCTTCAAATGGTGCGAGGTTCAAAGGTAGATTACGCTTCAATATTATACTATATCATCCGCCACTTTATGCGAATACCAATCAAATACTGCTTTCGTTTTGTCTCTCACTTGAATCCAGCGATAAATTTTACGCAGAACACGTAACACATGCTCTATCAGGAAAATTTAGACCGTCGTTTTCCATCTTCGCGACCAGACAAACGGCAGTATGAAAGTATATTTGTTTCGTGTGGAACCGGCCTAAGCACGCACAATGGTTTGGCTAACCGTGAACATAGTTCAAATTTATATTTGGTCTATTTATGTAATTTAATATAAAGTAATACGTATTTCACTTTGCAAATGAAATTATGAAAATGTAAAATAATTTTCATATTTCAAATAATTATACATGTCTTTCGCGGGAAAACATGCTATCATTACGTCGATTGGAACGCAAAAAATTATGTGTTAGGAGAATTACCTCTCGTTTAAACAATCAACATTCAACAGCTATAGTCGAAAAATTAGCTCAAAAAATGAGCTAAATATGTATACATATATATATATATATATATATATTTAGCTAATTTTTATTTCAGCGAATTTTGCTTACGATTATTGTTTTAAAATGTCTACTGATTAGTAGTTCATACTTCATTATAAAATATATTTTTAGGGATATTTGGACTATCCCATGTGCGCCCGTAGCGACGTACCTCCGCCGATGTACTACGGCTACGCCGTAGCCAATCCGCCGCCCCCTTACGGTTGGGTTTACCCTCAGAAGTAAGTTTATTATTAAAATAGTGTTTCGAGTTTCGATATTTTTTCAATGATATATAAAACTCCTATTAAAGTACATTTACATATAGTACAACATATCTATCAAACATGTACCTATATAGCAAATTTCAAAAAGAAAACTTTTTTTCATTTACCTACAAAATTCACCTACAAAATTGATGCTTTACCAACTAAACTAAGCGGCCGATGACTTCAGGGCGCGAATATCTTGATTTCTCTCTATGGCATTTTAGCAACGCTTGGCGCAATCTAGTATGCACCCTTAAGAGCATAAAACAACTTACAAAGAACATTCAACGATGAACATTTATTATTGCTTATTACTCTTTATTTGTACCTAACACAAAATGATATGGTTACATTTTTGCTGCAAATTAAAACAGGTACGGTATTTAAAATGGACGCCATAATAGATAAATATAGATATATATTTTTATTCTCAGCGGTCATGCCTCCGTGGCTGCCAACGGCCTAAATATTGCTCCATACGCTAACAGGTATGTCATTACCTTTTTCTTGTGTCATCAATTCATGCTAATGTCCTAAAACTGCTTCGTAGATTCTTTACAGTCACGACATTTCTTCTTTACTTTGCGGTGCATGTAGGAAATGTTGTGCAAACATTTCCTGATGCAGAGTCCAATTGCCTCGACGCAGAAACGCTCTGCTATGTCTATTGCAACAAGCTTCAAAAAACACAGTGCTAATAAAATGTTGCGCGAAAATACGATTACATTGATGACTCCGTGGCGCAGTCACCAAGGTGTCGGCTTCGGCGTCGGGGGTCGTGGGTTCGATTCCCACACGGGTCAACTATTTGTGTGAGCCACAGATAGTTGTTTCGCATCTAGGTATTTGTCCGTGTGAAATCTATGTTTGTAAAACGTCCTTACAACACAGGATAGTAATTTCCTAAAGTAAGGGCAATATTTTATAAAAAAAGATAAAGATAAAGATTGTTTATTACTCTTTATTTATATCCGTCACAAAATCATACAATTATTAAAAAAAATATTTTTGTTGCAAATAAAAACAGGTACGGTATTTAAAATGGACGCGAAAATAGATAAATATAGATATATATTTTTATTCACAGCGGTCATGCCTCCGTGGCTGCCAACGGCCTAAATAATGCTCCATACTTTAACAGGTATGTAATTACCTTTTTCTTGTGTCATTAATTCATGCTAATGTCCTAAAACTGCTTCGTAGATTATTTACAGTCATGACATTTCTTCTCTACTTTGCTGTGCATGTAGGAAATGTTGTGCATGATCAAGGGAAATGGGGATTCATTTATATATATATATATATATATATATATATATATATATATATATATATGTAAATGAATCCTATCAATCTATATGGTATATATATATATATATATATATATATATATATATATAGTTTAAGAAAATATGTAATGAAAAAGTCGTATTCGTAATTTCTGCCGTGGAGTTTTTGCTGTGTGGAAGTGCTGGAATTTTTTTGAGCTATTATTTTTAAATCAATATAAATAATTATTCGTTTATTTTTTTTAAGAAATGTCATTAGCCTTTATTAATTTATTTGACCTTAAGATGTATTATTAATCAATTCTAATCCGTTTGCTGATAATTTAAAATAATTAATAGGAACATTTTTGAATGTTTTCTCATACTTTATATTTGTTTAAAAATACACTGCATACAGCGCCTTAAATAGGTAAAATATCATGTAAGCTCTGTTATATCTATCAGTTTTATAGAGTATTTCTTTTTCGTCACGTATAATTCGATTTTAGACTATCCCATGATGATTATAAAAGGTTGAAAGAGTCGAAACATAGGAAAAATTAAAACGCGACAAGAGCCATAAAATAGTTTCATCAAACCATGTGTAACATTCGCCTATAACTAAAAATAAATATCATTCTATAACTCCATACTCGTATTAATTCTCTTTCACAAAAACAGCGCCGCCGGAGGTAGCGTGATGCAGAATCGCCTGCCATACACCGCCCCATGTAAGTAATACCTTACGATGATCATGTTGATGTTAATGTATAACACACTGATATTTCATGCTGAGAAATACTTAAACTATGCTCATTAAAATTTACTTATTCATTCGGTCTGAAAACAAACTGATCAAATGTAATCGATTTTTTTTTTTATTGAAATTCAAAACTGTATGGAAAGTAGTTTAAATTTATTAATGTTAATCTATATAACATTAAATCTAACCTAATTACATATTATAAATTAAACTAATTTTACGGATTTATCACGTTTATTTTTAATTTTAATTCCAGAAATTTCGAACCCTTTACAGCGTTCATGTTCACGGGACAGACTGAGGTGTTAGACGTCTGATTGTCATAGTTAACCCGGGCTACCGTCAGTTTTTGAATTATTAATTTTGTGTCCGATCTATGCAGAGGGAGGTAATTGTATCTTGTCTTGTAGCAGTGGTTCGTTTGGGACTAGATTTAATTTTATTGATGACAGTATCCCAAGCTGATGGTAGTACATAGTAAAATTAGTTTCATTTATAATGTGTAATCGCGTAAATACAAGAAACGAATTACATATTATCTAAAAAAAAACCTAGTCCTCGCGATATGGTGACGGTAACGCTATCTGCATTTCCTCGCTGAATAGTTATGCTAAACGTTAATATGTTGAAGCTTTCACTATGTTAGGGTCACAACGGGTAGTCCTTCCATGAAAATATAAAACTTACACTGACAATTATAATACGTACAATGTTGATATCAGATGTTGTTCATCTCTATGGACAAGTTATATTTTGAGCTTAAAAGCGTTACTGTTACAACAGCTTCGGCTGTTGCACGAATGGGCAGTTCCGTCCGGGTAAGTGATGCGACCTAACAGAATACCGGCGTGAAGTGGAAGTAAGCTAAGTGAAGTTAAGCCGGGGCCCACTTTATAAAGAGGTGGCATCGCATCTGCAGCCCTACGGGTGTTCCAAATGTCCATGGGCGGCGGTTATCACTTAACATAAGGTGGACCGCCAGCTTGCTTGCTACCTTCTCTTAGAAAAATAATGTATTTACTTATACACTTTTCAGCCGGCACCTTCACCGGGAATGCGGACTGCGTCTACTGCAACACCCTGCTCACCAATGGGTTTCAGCCGCCAGCCACTAACACCGGCGTATATTACGGAGGTGTTGCAAACTTCCCTTAAATTCTTAACATTTATCCCTTAACACCTTAACATGAAAAATGTTATGTGTCGCAAATTATATGCTCCTATTATTAAAACATTCCTGTGCTTATTGATAGTTTTATTTCATTTAGTACCCACGAAAAGTGAGCTTTCACAATTTTCAACATTAATATTACTATTTGGTTATTGGGGTTTTAAGAGGCATAAAACACTTGGCGGACTTAATGGCCGACGCATTCACTATTTTAACTTTAACAGATATCTTAGCTGGGAAGGGACATAGTTCTACTGGAGCATACAATCTCCTCGTGACGTTAGCACATTGAAGGAAATACCTGACAACGGAAGCACTTTAAAGGAATATTTAAAAAATGCTTCGTAGGAATCCTTTACAAAGGACTATCCCTTAGTGCGCTCAAATATAAACTGTTTTTTTTTTTATTAATAATAATATAGATATAGAGTTAGCGCCGGCCCAGGAGTAGAGCAAAAGAAGCAGTCGTTCTAGGCGCCAGATATCAAGGGGCGCTAAAAATCAAATGCAAAGCATTAATGGCGCCTTTAAAAATAACATGAGTGTAATAATTAGAGCTCTTAATTTTGATTTTAATTTAGATCAATTTAACAAATGCGATATTATGTTTTTCTTCAATTAGCTATTACAATACCTACCTGATTTCATTTAAATTCAGTATGTTTTGATATTTGTAATAAATTGGTTACGATTATTTATTTAACGTAAAGCCAAAGTGTAATTTCACTTTGCATACATTGCAATTTGGCACCGACAAAGACAAAGGTTCTGAAAAATAATCTTGCTCTACTCTCATCAAAGGCTAAGGCACTGTAGGAACTAAGGAACTAATTAACAGAGGGGCCGCCTATGAGAATCGATACTGTCGACAGAAGCTTAAAATTGTCATATTTTAGAGAAGAAATTGATGAAAATGGTAAGAGCTGGCTTTCAGCTTTTTGCCGAGATTTAGGCAGAAAAAGTGTTCTTTTTAAATCTGCATTCGTCAAAACATAACAACGAATATTATTTACGGATTTTTTATGTAATTCCATCCGTTTGTCATTTATTTATTTTTTCTTTTATTTTTTTAAAAACGTTGCCTCTATTGAAGTATATCCAGCGTTGTAAGGACATTTTACAGACATAAATATCACGTGGACAAACACCCAGATCCGAAATAATTACAGCTTCCCCATGTGACAATCAAACCAACGACCCCTGGAACGGATGTTAACACCTTTGCAAGTGCGCCTTAGAGTCGGACTATATGGAAAAAGCGAGTAACCACGATCAATTAAGCCTGTTCGAGTCCAGTGCTGAACATACTATAGCTAAGGAGATGAGTAAGCAGAAGTGGTAAAGGGTCGGCTATATAGCTGACAAGACGGATATCCGATGAAAAATCCGACGTCCGTCAGACGGACGGACAGACAGACAGACAGACCCACCATACCAAAGAATTCTATGTTCAAATATTAAAATAAATTTTCATTTTCTATGTTTATAACTGGCCAGTTCTAAAAGCTTTCTGTGTCATCCACCCCACAGTAGTACCACGACCTCACAGAATACCGGTGTGAAATGGAAGTGTTATACTTCTCCGTGTCGTCTGGTGAGTCTGGTAACCGGGGCCCACTTTATTAAAATGTAGCAAAGCATTTTCTACTTTGATTCAAATGTCCATGGGCGAAATCTTCCTCGTTTTACATAAAAAACAAAAACTGTATTATTAATGTTACTAATTTGATGATGTTGTGTCTTGAGTAAAGTTCACAGCTCATTAATAATCAATTAACCGCTTCTTTATACCTAAATATAATATAAGAAAATTAAGCGGTATATTGATATGGCTTACCGTCATATTATTGAATCCAACTATGAAAATTAGAGGAAATATTAATTTTCAATCGTAAATATTTTGGACACATTTTCAGTCCCAAACTAAGCAACACTTGTACTATGGGTACTAGAAAACTGATAGACATACTTAAACATACTTTTTTTTGTAAATAAATACACATTATACATATTATATAAACACCCAGACACTAGAAAAACACTATGCTCATCACACAATATTTTTCCAGTAGTGAGGGATCGAACCCACACCCTCTGGCGCAGAAGGCAGGTACGCTACCGACTACGCCATTCGGGTCGTCAAATACAGTTGTACTCAAATTCATTGCACATTTTTCGTCATCTTTTATCCCGCTAATGTATAATATTTACTCGTATATAAATATGTTTGCGTGGAGCTATTCAGAGCGAGCTTCCACGATTGATGAAATTCAATGAATTCCATATTTAGATCGAAAATTAAAAACCTGGAAAGACACGGACTATTTTAGGTTTCATTAAAGAGTTCCACGAACATTGTCTATCATAACACAAATGAAGTTTCATAATGAGGTAGTACCTGGAGGACCTTTTATTTTGCGGCGAAATTTACTGTCATATTCGAATGATATTTTTCATCCCCTGAAAACAGGGATATAAGGACATTTTCTAAAAATGAAACCTAGCCAGATCGATTTTTCGCCCCCGAATCTACGCACATGCTAAATTTCATGAAAATCGCTGGAGCCAATTCCGAGATTCCGATAATATATTAATTGCTCGTTTAAAAGATAAGATAAATGCAAGTTTTAGGTAAAAGGAATAATTTTCATTTTTAAACTGAAAAATTTAGAGGGTATTTTGATATTATTATCATCTGTCACGAACATTTGTATATATATCGGCATATTTACAATAGATACATAGAGAAACATATTGCATTATACAGTAAAGAAATTAGAATAAAATAAATGGATACTGACTACTAAATTTATTATATAAATGAACAATTATATGTAAACGAGATTGAGAAGGTCCAACGAAAGTTTCTTCGCTCCATGCAATATAGATGTAAGAAATCCAATTTATCATAGTCACAATTATTAAAAAACTATAAATTGCTATCACTTGTGGCAAGACGTAAATATTTAGAAGCTAATATACTGTATTGTGCACAACAATTTTGATTGCATTGACTTAACAAATAAGATTTGCTATGTAGTTCCTCGTACTACCCATAAACGAACAGTTCTCACTCTCTTTGCCATCAATACTTGCCGAACAAACTCAGGATTACGATGTCTCGTCTCGATACAACGTATGCTTAAATCATATAACTCCAATTTTGTTGATATTGATATATTTGAATGCTCTAAATCTAGGTATAAGAACCAAATAGTTTCCAAATTATAAGTGAAGTATATAAGTTAAGCTATACTTTTTAATAATTATGTATTTTTGTATTCTTGAAGTGTTCCTTTTTTTATCTTTGTGCTATTTATTATTGTTTTTTATTTTTATTTTTGTAACGTATCTAGTAGCTTGCATTAAAATAATATTGTATGTTTAATACGTGGATAATGTAGTGGGCTGTAATATTATTACTATATCAACGCAACAGATCTGTTCATATCATATATTGTAGCTGTTTGTTATCCCCAATAAAATAAAATGAAATAAAAATAAAATTATAAGTAAATCCAAATCTGATGGGGGGGGGGGGGGGGGCTCGGTGGCGATAAACAAAGAGATAAAGTTTAGGGGGGGACAGAACACGAGACACGACATGGATGGTATCGAGAATTCTGTTTGATCAAAAACGGCGCATCTCTGAGTCACAGAGGATTTAGATGCTGTAAAAGGCCAGATGAGGACCCATCTGCAAAAATGTTCATAACTATTACAGACGGCATAACCTATGTTTGTGTGATCTAGTAAAATAGATAAAAAAATCTTTTCATTTTTGTTTAAGTTTTACTAAGAATCAATAATCTTAATTCAAAGATTCGTATCGAGTAACTCTGTTTTTTACACGATTACAGATAACTGAATGAAAGTATTTTTACAAATTTAACGCATTTATTTTTATTTTAGTTGCCAACGATACGAAATTTTTTCAGCGTCCATGTTTACGGGACAGCCAGAGGCGTGGGACGTCTCTTAATTAATTAATTCTTGTTATAAATATATATTTGACTTCCTTGAAGCTATTATTTTATCAATGTAGTTTCAAATCAAATACACAAGACCTTTTCTTGTCAAAGAAACAAGTAGATGACGGAACTAAAAACTGTAAACTGTACATCGTTTACCGATGGAGTAAAAAGTAAAGTAACAGCCTATTTATATGCCCCACAGCTGAACAAAGGCCTCTCTACAGTGGGTATTACATACAAAGGGCATAGTGGCAACCCCCCGGATTGACGAACTGTCACATATCTTTTGTTTTTATTCTGATTTTTTTGTTATTATTTCGAAAATTTGCGGGTTTCCTCATGACGTTTCCTTCACCGCTGAGCACGTGAAAAATCAGCACTTTAAATAAACAAGTTCAGTAGTGCCGGCGCCGGGATCGAAATCAAGTTGCTGGAGTATATTGAATTAAAAGCGAGCGCTCGGTCAACGAGCTATCTCATCGGCATTAGGCTGCAGAATATTTTCATCGTAACAACCATTGTCTAAATTGCCATGTTTTCAAAATGAGCTGAATTTATCCTGTTCATGATACATGGGTATCCAAACCATTAGCCTCTCACTGTCTCTTTTCTCCGTACTACGATACCGATATCGATCCGGACAACGATAGACCCTTACTCTTGTCAAATCCTGTCTAAATGGTAATATCAGGACTCAACTCGGAGTAACTCGGGAAACAAAACCCTGGGAATGAGATGAGAGGACCCAAGCTGTTTCTAAAAAAAATATTGATTATATATAATAATATTTAAATTTTTCAAGAAAAAAATGATAAAAAAGTGGATACCTACGGAGTTACTTTCCCTGTTTCTTCTGCTTAGAGGAACCTCATTTTGAAAAGGTGGTTAGATTCAAAAAATTACTATCGATAGATGAAATGCATGTTTCTTATGTCGATGAATAAATGATTTTGATTTTAATTATACTTGAATTTTGACGAAGTCGTGGGCAAAAGCTTGATATATAA